AGTAAATTATATAATTACAACAAATAAATAATGTCAAATCATTCTAGAATTTTAATTAAAAAAAAATTTAACTCTTTTGACGAGATAACGCCGAACCGCGAGAGGCTGATCAGCGCGTTCAGTTCGTTTGGGGTGTGGGTCGCGCTAGTTTCAACACTTTAGTTCACTCATTAATTTTTGAAAAAAAAGATCGAGCTTTCAAATGACCCTTATTAAAAAACCTACTAAAAATGCCCAAGTAAAAAAAAAGAAAATTTATTTATTTTTGTATAAATATTGATATAAACTTTTTTAAAATAATATTATTCACTATATAGCAAAAGATATCGCATTATTTACACATATTTTCTCCACCTAATTGTAAATTTTCTTTATCACGATTAGGAAATAAATCTTCTTATAGTAATATGAATTAATAACATTTACTTTTCTGTTTAAAAGGGCCCGAAGATATCGATGAATTTCCTAATGCTAGGCCAGCAGCTGCAGAAGATTTATTTCTTAATCGTGATAAAAAAAAATTACAATTAGCTGTACCAAATATGTGTAAGTAATGCGATATCTTTATAATAATATGTTTTTATTACAAATTAAATGGTATTTTTATTTTTTATATTTACGATTTTGACCATGGTAAAAGAAAGTGCAAAGGATATCGGGCCGTAACGAAAAGCGTTGCAGGCCGCATTGCGGCCCGATATCCTTTGCCGATATCGGCCGCACTAAAACCAATATCAACCGCATTGGGGACGAACTTTTTTTATGCATAGTGGAAAGTGATTATATGTATATGAAGTTGTATTAATACCCAGGGTATTTTAATTGGTTTTAGAAGTAGGATTTATCCTACAAATTCTATAACAAGTAGATGAAGATACGGAAGAAATGAGACAACAGGATAATGAAGATGTGAAGAACAGAACCATCTACTAAAGATTCTAGAACAAAAATTGGACAGTAGCAAATTACGAAACAAATAGGTTTCCTTAGAAAAGAAACAGAATATGCCAAATATTTTTAAAAAATTGAGAAGTGAAAGAAAAAGATGAGAAAAGAGTTGATAAAGTTGATAAAAGAGTTGATTAAGTTGAGAAACGAGCTAAAACAGTTGAAAAAAGAGTTGTTCAAATACAGAAGAGAAATTTAAAGAAAAGATTTAACAGCTTTAGCGGAATGTCAACAGGGTCAAAGCCCAAGCGGCCATTCCAAGCCCATGGACAGGACACATCAAAACATGTCTAAATTATATTCTTGTTACTTCCTTAAGTTTACTTATTTTTTCTACGAGTATTTATGAGAAGTATTAGCCAAAGTTGGCTAATACTTCTCATAAATACTCGTAGAAAAAATAAGTAAACTTAAGGAAGTAACAAGAATATAATTTAGACATGTTTTGATGTGTCCTGTCCATGGGCTTGGAATGGCCGCAAGGTAATAACGCCTATACGACAACTATTCATACGAAAAATGTCCACTTTAAAATTTGAATAAGAAACGTAGCCTTATAATGACAAGGAGTCAACGAGAGAAATTATAAATACAAATATACAGGGTAATTCAGAATAAGATGCTGAACCTTAAGGGTGTGAATCCTTAGTTGATTTTAAGAAAAAAAGTTCAAATAAACCTATGAACTAAACCACTTAATTTTTGAGTTACATGGTGTTAAAGTTTTAAGAAAAAAATCGTTTTTTTATCATAACTTTAATAAAATTTGGCACATGCCTTCTAAGCATTAACAGTAAGTTTTTGATGTAAAAGATTTTTTATTTTTTTTACCAGTGGCGTCCGTATAGGATGTGGTCTAGATATTTTTGGAAAAATATCATGCACCCCACTGCTATTTTTCAAAATAAAAATTATTTTTTAAATCCCCATTCATTTTAGGGCAAATTTGAATCCTTGAGCATTTAATGCGTATATTGAGAAAACAATGCCATGATTAAATAAACATTAAAATTAAATTTAATTATAAACTAATTTTAAAACAACTAACATTAAATAACGTAAACAAAAACAAAAATAATTTAGATTAGCTGTTGAAAGTGGCCACCACCTGCAAGTATGCATGCTTCAGCTCTTCTCCTCAATGAGTTTCGTACCCCAAAAAACTACAGAAACTGGCCCAGGACTAGGACTGGGATACTCTCGGCCCGACAGACCCCATGTATTCAAGACAAGACCACCACCCAGACTTCCTTGACATATCCCTGAGCAGAAACTTCGACCTAAACTCCGCGTCTCAAACCTTTACGGGCTCCACCTCGGACCATAGCCCCCCAATCAAAATACCATAAAAAACTTCAACTGGGCAGCTTTCAACCGTCTACTGGCACACTCCAACCCAATTTTCTCGCCCCCTAACTCACAAATGGAAGTAGATCGAATGGCCATAGACCTCTCCAGGAATATCTCACAAGCCCTCGAGTGGGCTATCCACTCTAGGACTGTCCCGGTCCTATGCACCTATGTCAGCTCTATAACGGACTTGCCAGGAGAATAAAGATGTCCCTAGAGGTTTTTAGAAACCAAAAGTGGGTGGAAATCCTCAATAATTTGGACCCAGGAAAGAACAATGATATATGAAGAGTCATAACTACAATAAGAATCTACCAAAATTACACCGCTCCAAGGCCCCGATGGACTCCTATATACAAACAGCGAAAAGGCAGCCTGTTTGGCGGCCCATCTTGAGAACCAATTTGCAGACCATCCCTCACTGCCCAAGGATGAGCAGGAGGACCAACTGATGCAAGAATTTATGTCGGATTTTCACCAGCCACTCTCGAGCTAGTAAAAATCGTTACGCCAGCTTAAGCAATAAAGTGGCTTCAGGTGACAACACCTCCAACTTGGTGCTAAAACATCTCCCTCCAGTGATGATTCATAACCTAACCCTGATAAATGGTGTCCTAAGAACATGTAATTTTCCCAACGCCCGGAAAAAAGCTCAAGTAATAATGATCCCAAAATCTGCAAAAGAGAGCTAGTTGCAGGAAAACTATAGACCTATATTCTTGCTATCTACCCTGGCCAAGCTACTTGAAAAAGTAATAAAGATCAGGCTTAATGAGGAAACCTCGAAGAAAAACCTACTCCAGGTAGTCCGTATTGCAGAGATGGATTCGACTTTAAGCAGAGGACGGGGTTGGTACTGCTGGATCTTAGCAAAGTCTTTAATAAGGTTTGGCATGTAGGTCTTCTGGTTAAAATTATCAACATGGCAGTGTACCCCACAATGATGAAAATTGTCTCTTCCTATCTAAAGGACAGAGAATTCTTTACCAAGATCAACGGAGCAGTATTCTAAATTCATCCAATAAGAGCGGGGGTACAGCAGGGATCGGTACTAGGCTCGACAATTTTTAACATGTTTATGACAGACCTGCCTCGCACCCCAGGATTGCATTTGGCATGTATGCAGACGATACCGCCCTCATTTACAAGAGTTCCAACGTCAAGCTAATTCAAAGCAAACTCCAACGTACACTGTAGAATGAAGGCCTAAGCGGATAGGTATCGTGTCCGCATAAATAAAAAAAAACAGACGATCCTATTTAGAAAAGGACGTCCCCTACCCGGGGAATTAACCTGCGAAAACCAGGCCATTTCATGGAGAGGACGGAGGCCATAAAAACAGGGCCCTGCACAGTGCCCTGGATTAACGCCCAGAAGACCGCCGCCTCTACTGAGGCATAAGAGGAAACACTGTTTTTTAAAAGATGGAGAGGAGTCAGTAAAAAAAAATAGTTATATACAAAAGATGCATACATAAAATAAAACAAAAACAAAACAACATGACAACATTCTGTCACCGTTCTCCCTGTTTTAAACTACAAAGTTCAATTCAAGACATACAAAAACAAAACAAAATGTTTATACTCCTCCTTCCTGCACATACTTTCACAAACTTTTACAACTACTAATACACACTAACTCAACATAATAATTCCAGTAAATTCTTATGTAATGTTTTTGTTTTAAAGCTCTCATTGCAACTCATGTAACTTCTAAATTAACTTATTTCAGCTAGTAAGATATAAATAGCGCAGTCGTTCAAATCCTGTTCTTCCAGCAATATCTCTACCAATCATAAAAAACCCATCCTCAAGTGTAAGGGCAAAGGGCCATGACCAACCCTTGCTCGGGCAAAAAGCTCGGCAGGTTTAGTTTATTAGTTTATTATTGCAAATATTAATGAATCGCAAAAAGTATCACGTATCACAGTATATGGTGTGGCAAAAAGCTTTATCCGCGTTACCCAACGCGATAACGAACAAAGTTCCTGGGTTTGTCCACTCTTACAAGTCTCTGTTTTGACAGCCATCAAGTCGATATATGAAGATTTATTGAAGGAAGAATTCCTTAAAAGACGCGTAGGCGGATTCAACCAGAACAATAACAAAAAAAATTAGCCCTAAAAATCTATCTGGAGGTGAAGTCCGAGACGAAATTGCAGCTTACACAACTGCTTGCATTTTCAATTAGGAATAAAATGCAGTTTTAAATTAAAGATTTACGAGACATTGGGAGTAATTTCTGGAACTCGTGCTCATCATTTCGTCGTGGATGAGGACAAGAAACGCGTTTCGATCGCAGACCACCGCGCGCGTAAGATGCAAATCAAAAAGACGTCCTAGAGGAGCAAGTGCAGAAAATAATTTAGGTATAATTATTCTATAATAGTAAAATAATAGATTAGATAAGATAACTTATTTAATTTGTGTAAAATAAACTTTATTGGCTCCCACGTAAACGAAGGAATTCTTATTTCTATATTTTTGGCCACAAAACTCAATTTTTGAAATCTAATTTTTTTTTAAATCGTCACAATTTTTGTTATTAAAACCCTTTGTACACAAAGGAACTAGTACGATTTACTAATATGTGTTTTATTAAGATTCGGTCGAGCCGTTCCTGATTTATCATGCTCACTGCAAACCCTTGTAAAAAGGGTGTTGTATAGTTTTTTTTTAATAAAATGATGATTTCATACTAACTTTTATTTCCTCTTCCTTATAATGACTTGGACTAACAAATTGCATTTCTGCTGGATATGAAGATTTTAAATGAGGAGGTACTTTTGAGTTTCTATGTGCAAGTACAGAAACTCGACTTGCAGTTGATTCCCTTCCAGTCAGAAAATTGGTGCCTTCTTTTAAGTCCAAAAGATACTTATCGTTAAATAAATCATCATCTTCATCTTCCATATTTAAATTAGACCCTAAAAATTATTAACACAAATAATAATAATAATTACATAATGTTGTAATATAACTATATATATATATATATATATATATATATATATATATATATATATATATATAACTTTATAAATATATATATATATATATTAGGGTGCTTCAAAAAAAAATTTTTTTCGCTCTTACCCCCTCAAATGTTTTTATTTAATATAAAAAAATTCCTCACCAAATATGGGCGTTCCAGCTCAACTCTAAGAGGTCGCTGTTTTTATTTTAGTTTCCCATGGGAAAAAATTAATTTATGTTTGGAATTTTATACCTCTGTATCAAAGTAACTTATGGCAATGATCATTGCAGTTTCTTATATAAAATTTAACGCTCTACAAAAAAGGTCTCCTATTATTTTTCGATAAATTAATTTCTTCTAGAGTCATTCGAGGTCAAAGTTTGATTAACATCAAATTTTCTGGTACAATTAGCAGACGGGAGGTGAAAGAGGGAAAACTTTGACCTCGAATAACTCTAGAAGAAATCAATTTATCGAAAAATAATAGGAGACCTTTTTTGTAGAGCGTTAAATTTTATATAAGAAACTGCAATGATCATTGCCATAAGTTACTTTGATACAAAGGTATAAAATTCCAAACATAAATTAGTTTTTTCCCATGTTAATTCAATGGGAAACTAAAATAAAAACAGCGACCTCTTAGAGTTGAGCTGGAACGCCCATATTTGGTGAGGATTTTTTTTATATTAAATAAAAACATTTGAGAGGGTAAGAGCAAAAAAAAATTTTTTTTTGAAGCACCCTAATATATAAATATAGCTTTCATCCAATACGAAGCCCACTAAATATTATAGGCAAAGCGAAGCCTGGGTTAAGAGGCAAGGGGTTTCGGTATTTTATTTTAATATTTAGAGATTATATAAAAATCTATCGGTCACTGCATTTATTATGGCTTCTTAACAACCGCCAGCCGTCTTTGAGCTTATAAGCTCAAAGACGGCTGGCGGTTGTTAAGAAGCCAGGCGGTGTTGCCGTCACTTATGCTGTGATAAAAGCGTTTATGAAATACGGAATTTGATCTGCTGTTGCAGATGTTCATAGGTAATGCATGGCAATAGGAGAAATATAAAATACCAATCAGTTATGTTAGGTTAATTTTTTGCAAACAAACATGTTTAAATGCTCTATTACATTAAAATAATAAAACAATGTAATAATACTTATTGTAATAATATATATATATTAGGGTGAGCCAAAAAAACTAACCTATCGGATTTATGGGTTAAAATGAACCTACATACCGAGCAATTTTAAAAGGTGTCGGTGAGCATTCTAAGTTTTCCATTGAAATAACACGTAAAAAAATCTTTTTTTATTAAAAAGACTATAACTTTTGAACCGTTTGAGATAAAATTTTTTACGTCGCGGATTCTTGTAGAGCATAAAATTTCCCAAAGAATCTATACCAGGATTATTTTTTTTAATTCAAAAATTTGTATGTTTGAAAGCTTTGAAAAGTGTAAAAAATCAGTCAAAACTGCAGTTTTAGTTAAATTTTCTACAACTTTTTCATTTGAACTTTTTCGGTAAAACCAGTCATTCGCTCGATTTTCTCAAAAATATGTGAGAAAAAGTGAAAAAACGACTTTTGGAGCTACAACAATCAACGTAAATAAATCAAAAACAAAATTGATGCAGGGCCTTTCAAAAACCGTGAATACTAGGCAGAAAATTATGGTGATAAAAATTATAATTCAAAACCCGGCCAAAATATAGAAATTTAAAGTAAAAATGATTAAAAGTACATGCTTTTTATATGAAAAAAAAATTAAAAAGGAAGTAGGTACTTAGAATCAAAATTAAGGGCTCAAATTTTCAGGGATTTTTTTTTTCGTTTTAAATTAAACACCCTAATATATATGTGTGTGTGTTTCAGCCACGCAAATTTGTACTAGTTTTAAAACACAAATTTTAAAATCTGTTTGTTCAATTATGTGTTTTTTAAGTTACCTAGTGGTAGTATTAAGGTAACGATATCTGTATAACATAACTATTGTGGTCCAGTTTAAACTTCAATAATTTTAAGTCAAAAATCAGGAAGACCTTAATTCAAAAACATTGCTCGAAAATGTTTCCTAACAAAGATACAGGTCGTAAAAAAATGTAAGAAGGGTTGTTATGGAAACAAAATAAACAATGCATCTAGCAGCTATTTGAAGTTAACAAGCATGGATCCCACACAAGGATTCCGAACTTAATAGGGAAAATTGACAAAACCTGTGCACTAAATCGCACAAATTAAGTTTTCTTTTTTCACCACTAGCGTCGCTGATTGTCATTGCGTACTGACTTTTGCTGTATTGGTGCTGTTTCAGAATAAACTAAACAGCAGCCCAGCGCTCTCTTTTTTTAGGAAGCAATTTGAAGTTTGGATTTCATGTGTTAAAATGTTTTTTTTTATTTTCTCTAAATTTAATAGATAACAATTTTAGTAGCGTCATAGACTGAGGTGAAAAGGATAGCAGTAACTGCGCCTACTAAGACCTTAACTACATTACATAATGTGCAAAATCTGATGAAAAAGTGGTTTAGAAGTTATGAGGGGAAAAATGGATTTTTTTTTTAACTTGACGGCCGTATCTCTGTTAAAAAACATGTTTAATCGATGTTTTTTTAATAAAAGTTACTAGACCACCCTGTATATTGTATTTATAAGTGTGCCAGCCAAATTTTTTTATAATTCAGATTTATTTGAAACTTGGCTGTTGTAATATACGTTCATCTCTTATTATCCTATAAAGATTTTGTCCTGGCTAGAGGAGTTGACTAGATATAAAGACGAAAACTTTTAAATTTCTACAAAAGCCGATTTTGTAAACTTATTTCTAAAGCTCTTTTCAGTAAATAGGTACTTGAAGACTAGAATAATAGTTTTTCAAAAAAATATTAATAAAGTAAAACATTTTTGTGACTGAGGTGTTTATTTCTTGTTACCATTTCGACAAAATTTAAAAAAAAATACAGGTAATTCTTTGATGGACTGGAGTCTACAATAGTTGGGGCAATAACTCAAAGTACATTTAATTTAAGAAAAGACATGTATTTTTATTAAACCTTAAAGTTCATTGCTTAGATTGTTGGTAAAAATAGAACGTTTTATGTAAATTTTATAGGATGAAAGCTCTATTAAAAAAATATTTCTTAAATTCAAGAGTAAAAACTAGAATAAAAAACAACTATTATTCTTTATTAAATAGCGCGGTACAACCCGCTTTTAATTTTATAAATCCTTTCCATCCCATAATTTATTACATAATATTTAAAAGAAAAACAAGCAAAATACTCTTGCGGGCGGTTATTGCGCCGCGACGCACTGATGTTCCTATTAAAGATCTGACTAGACAAAAGTCCCAAATTTTTTAAATTTAAAACAACTTAAGTTTTGTCCTAATCTGATCTTAAATAGTTGCAAACCCATAAAATGCAATCAAAATTAAAAACAAAGCAATACAGACTGTATAATTGCAAGTACAAGTCGCTTGTTTAGCGTAAACGTTAATAAACAGTTGGGTTAAGCCAGCAGTTACTTTCTTGTGACGATATTATCATATATAATACCACAAGAGCTTCAAAATTATCGGGTATTTTTCCCGATAGGTTCGTTGCAAACAAATGAAGGAGTCAAGTTTTTCAGGTTAAAAAATCACGAGCGCGAAGCGCGAGTGATTTTTCCTGAAAAACTTGACGACTTTATTTGTTTGCAGGGAACCTTGAGGGAAATGCCAGATAATTTTGAAGCTCGTGTGGTATTCGGGGGATTATTTTTTTTGACAGTTATTATTGTACCTTCCTTATAGTCTTCTCCATCCATTTTCTTCATATTGTAAGCGTAATCTTTCATAATGTTTGCCAATTGCGCTTCACTCGTTTCAGCACTCAATGTGTATTCCCTCTCAGTACAAAAAGTAGTAAATTGGTTCCAAACTGTTTTTTTTGACTTCTCCGTATTAATGGGAACATTTCCTTTGACTTTTTTATCGATGGTGGACAGAGAACAAACTCCAAATCGACTCATTTTCATGCAAAATCTCCAATTTTCACAATTGAATTCAACCTGTCAGTTTGACGTGTGGTTAATTTGACTTTTTTATATATAGCAACTACCAGAGAAAATTTTCAAAAAATTATCGCTGTAATTCGCTGTAGGTTCCCTCAACAACAATGCCTCAACAATGTCCCAACAATACAGAGAACTGTCAAAAAAAATAATCATAGTAATCTATTAGATATTGATTTAGGATTTTTAACGAATAAAACTATAAGTATGTACTTTTATTTTTCATATATTTTAAATTATTATTTTTATTTTTTTATTAACCCAAAAAGATTACAAAAGAATCCATAACAGGTAACAAACATAATTATGTGGATACATTTCTCTTGAGTATGAGTATGAGTATGGGAACGTATGGCAGGCCTCAGATATATTATCATCCACTGATCTCCCGGGATTATTTTACCCCCTTTCCGTTCTCCTGCGTACAGTTTTTGGTACAGTTTTTCCGTCTCCTCCCGCATACGGTTTTTGTGGGTGCTGATTTGTTCCCAGCTGGCGAGGTCGGTTTGTGAGAATTGGATTGTCTGCGCCAGGGTGTCGTGGAATGTGTAGCAAGGTCTACCGACTTTTTTTTTCGATGAGGTCTAAATTTAAGGTGGCTTGTAATATGTGGTTTCGGCGTCTACGCTTGGCATGTGCCCAGTATTTTTTTGACTTGTCTAATAATTTTTTAATGTTACTGGGGAGCGGTTCTGACGGTTTATTAAGAGTGAGGTTTGCCGCTAACTGTAGACTTTCTTTAATGATTGTCCATGTCTCTGATACGTTATTAAGGTCAGGATTGTGTGTTAGTAGTATCTCTTTTGCCGCGTTTTTGTAGTTAAGATTGTCAGTAGGGTCTTTTAAACGCTCAGTATACCATTTTGTCGGTTTTATTGTGGGGGACTGATAGT